AGTAAATCCACTGGAAGTGTCTGCACGGAGGTGGAAGGGTGGGTGGCGCGGGGTCTGTCTGAGCTTGAGGTGATGCAGGCGGATGGAGACTACAGTTCGGTTGAGGCTGCCGTGACTTCCTGGAGAAGGGGGACCTCCACAAGCATTGTTCGCCGAAGCCGCCAGAAAGGTTGAGAGGTACTACCAAGCTACCTGCAAGGCAATGCTGCGTACGGGTTATTTTCCTTCGTAGTTGCCCATGAAGCGAGCGCGCTGTGAGGGTCGACAAGCCAGAGAATGAGAACGGTGAAAGGATACGACGTTGGGAGAGATCTAAGCGACTGGAAGATATGCATATGCAGTGCGCATGGACTGGGCTGAGGGGGCGCCTGCAGGCCAATTCAGCGCCGATAGCTGCAGCGTACGAGTCGCGACGGGTGGATTCCTTGGCAGATACGGTGTTTTTGTTTTCTGCATGCGGCGCAGCTGGGTGGAAGACTGGCAAAGAGAGTTCAGTGGTACTTGGCAACGGTGCTCGACACCTGGTGATGATGGAGGGGAGCGGTACCATCTGGGCCTTAAAACGTGTCAGTTGTACAAAGAACGATGGCCGCTTCATGTTTCTTGTTTCATCGACAGAACAAATAATGGGGATTTGAAAACCTTAGAGGCGGGGATTCGGAGTGTGACTTGCCTCGGCCGTTCTGGGGCCGAACCACCTAGGCTTGCTAGAGAACTGATGTGCTCGAATCATTCCTCGATACGATGGACCATCGACTGACATGTTGATAACGAATGAACAGCATGGTCGAATCGGAAGTATGGAACAGGGGGTTGCAAGCTGCTAGAAGACGGCAGACGAGCGACCGTGTCCACGCATTGAGAGTAATACAGCGTATAGCCTACCAAAACTCCTGACTGGCTTTGTTGTTGCCTGTCACCTTGACTCGACGCGCATCAATGCAACTTCAAGCGAAAATGGGTCCGCGTCAGATGGTGGATGGAGGCTTGCTTGTGCGTCACGCTTGGGTTGAGTTCATGATGGTGCATTGCCAGGGGTCCGACTGCAACATGGTAAGAGGAGGTGGTCGGGACAGATGCATCTCAACGCAGAGAGGACCAATCGTGGGGCAACCTGCTGGGTTGGAACCCCAAAGAAGGTGGTGGAGATTCGTTGTCGCTCTCTCTCGAGACTGACGGTGCAGGCGGGTGGGCTTCTTGGTGCTTTCCCAACGCTGGAGGTACGTGTAGTTACCCCGCAAAATAGTGCGATTGGGTGACGTCGCCAGCCGTGTTGGTGGCACGCTAAGTTGAAGCACAGACCAGATCCGTCGTCGAAAGCACCTGCCCCAGGATAGCGTTTCAAGGTGGCGTGCACTGTTGATTGGTCGCTGTGGCCCACGCCCTGCCCGGGGGGAGGTGCTAGAGGGGCCCAGAGACACCTGCCGTGGATGCCGCGGATGCGCTTGCGCAGAGCTTCTGTCCTGCCCTGTCTGTGCTTCAGCGTTCCGAGCAATCCCAGATCCCAGCCCCGACAGATGCTCACTCCCCACTCCAGTCCTGTGTTGGTTGCTGGCTCTTAGCTGCTGGCTGGTGGCTGCCTGCTGTCGCTTGCCTTGCAGCAGTACCTACCCACTACTCTACGGCGGGCTGCGCGGAAAGGGCCCCCCACCCCCTCCCCAACATCCCTCCTCCCGCAGACGAACCTACCTGGCCTACCTACCGCCAACAAGGGAAAGCTCAAGTCTATCACCACTTCCGTCCGTGGTCCACGGCGGCTGCTTCTGCTCACCAACTCGTTGTGCCCCTCCCCCCATCTCTCCCATCTGCTCTTCATCCCCACTCCTCTTCCTCCTCCTTCTTCTCCGTCCGTCACTCCATCTTCTTCTCCTCATCTCCATCGTTCTAGCAACCTACCCATCTCCATCCTCATCGACAAGAAAGAAAGAACAAGAAAAAAAAAGGTGCCGCTCCCTACGACAGAAAATCACCATCGGACAAACAAACGAGATACACCAACAACCACGTCCCAGCCAACACCAACCCGTGTCTCGCCAACAGATTGGATTCGCCCCCTTACGGCTCCTCCCCCACACTGCCACATACCGCACCCTGACAATCAATTCCCTTCTGCTCAAGGGCCACCCTCGTCCGTATTCTGATCCCCATCCTTTTTTCCCTCAATCGCTGCATCGCTCTCGATTCATTTGCATTTTCTGGCCGTCCCCCTGTCTCGAATCGCAGCGCCCCGACGTCACTTTCATCAAAACCCCCAATCGTCCTCAGTGCTGGCTTGTCGATCTCTCGCCGCACAAAGCCTTCGACGGAAAGCCCCTTGATCAAACCCCGTTCGGGATCAGCATCAGGCCACGCACCACACTGTCCTTGCCAGCACCTCCTCGCTCGACTCGTGCATTGTGCCCGTGCCATCACAAGCCACCCACCATCCTACCCTCCACCACCGGCTCTGCGGGGTGTTACCCAATCAGTCCGTTTCCCACTCCGATATAAAACCCCACGTTCCACCTACCCGTTACACCCCTTCGACCCCCCTCGAACGACTCGTCTTTCGATTTCTGTTCCTCCTCACACCATTCAGCACCACCAACCCACCACCGAATAGTGCAACGCTGCCAAACTACAAATAGACAATTCGCCATACACCTCAACCGCCATCATGTCAAACGACAACGCCAACAACAACGCCGACATGAACCACCGACGCCGCGGCTCAGTCACCCAGCAGGCCCTGGCTGGCCTTTTCCGCAGCAACTCGACCTCGGTCGGCCAAAACTATCAGAACAGTGAGGCCCAGCGACGACGTCTCTCTGTTGCCACCACGGGTATCGGCCTGGCTGGCACCTCGCCCACCAACCCCAGCCCCTTCACCGGCTTTCGACGAGGCAGCATGTCGACCAACTCTGACTCGTTTGACGAGAACGCCATTGACGAAGAGGAGGTCGTACGCGCTCCCCCCACCACCCCTTTCGCCCGCCGTATGAGCTTTGGGGCCCCCGCCATGCGCAATGTTCGTCCGGGTGGCGGAAGCCCCTCAGCGCCAAATGGTAATCACCCATCTGCATCAACATCTGTCCCCTCCAATGCTCCCCTTCATCAAATGTCTACCATGAGCGGCAGACGAAGCAGTGTGAACCCCCGAGTTCCCTCGACGAGAACAGGTGCGATTCCCACAACGTCAACCGCACCAGCTCGTCGTCGTCCACCTGCACCCGTTGCAGGGGGCGGACCTCAACGACTGCGCATGCCGAAAGACATGATCATATCCCTGGCAAGCAATGCACCACTCGATTGATCCTGGACTAACAATTCTTCTTTTTGGCAGATCAAGGATTTAACTGGTCCGAGCAACTCAAGTCGCGAGCTGAGAGCTCTGTCCAGGGCCCCCGACCGTCATTCTCCTTTGGCTCGACTGCGTCCACCTCGCCACCCCGTGGCAACGGCAGCGCCATGCACGACCGCGCCAAATCTGTGTCTGACATGCCCGCCCCGCCCGCGCAGGCCGCCGCCATGAAGCCCAAGGCTCCTGAGCCCCAGCGAAAGAAACCCGACGCTTTCCAGGAGCGTATTCTCAAGGGAGACTTCTACATGGACTGAAGGGACTTCAGCGGCGCTGAATATGTCACAAAAACTCATGGTACATGTACATTGCATGGGTAGGAATGCCGTATGCCACGCACCCGCCACCTACCCCCCTTCACGACGTCTCACTTTTACGATTTCCTCCTTCACCAATACCCCCTCTTACCAACAGCGGCGACATTTCATACATGTCAGGAGTTGCGCCAGATTGATTGCTTGATTTGAATGACAGGTGCGGGCGTTTTGACGTCAGATTAGACGGCTATGTACCTTTCAGCACGGAACGCTGGTCACTGGTTTTTGCAGACTTGCGTGGACTAGGGCTCTATGGGTAGAGCAGCTTGGGGAGGCAGAGCAGGACGCGATGCCAAGGCAGACATGGTTCATTGTTATTACGAGCGCGGGAACGGATCGGCAGCGGCTATCATATTACCTGTAACTGGACTCCAAAATTGGACTGGTACGAATATGGATACATGGTGTGGCTTTTGCAGAGAGGGCTCGAGGACGAAGACGAGGTGCAAGGCCGTGTCACGAGAATGTATCAAACGAAGAGTCTGAAGGACCAGGGGGCAGGCGGCCAAGACCAGATGGGGGTGATCCACCTGTCGAAGGACACGATGAAATTGATGGAGGCTGGCGATTGAGCCGATGTGTATTCCATGGGGAACGCAACCGAGCTCAAGAGCATTGTTTGACAGACTTGGGAGAGAGTATAGCGACTCAATCAATACAAGTCTCACATTGACAAGTCACAAAAGCCACGGCAGCGTCTGTTCGTATTGACACACATAACCAGACACACGGCGCTCTAACTAGGAACAAATTCGTACATGTTTCGACCGATCGTCGTTGTCGAAAGGAACAAAATAAACGCCATCCGCACCGACCGCGCTTCTTCTGCTGTGCTTCCAAACCGTTGTCCTGATGCCCGTCCGTCCGACCGCCGATCCCATCCCCTGTACGCCCCGAGATAAAAATATACATGAAACAGCGGGTTTCCCCCCCCCTCTCCACCCTGTGCAGAACGCTTCTTCTGGAAAAGGGATGCCTTTGTCCAGTGACATGATGGACAGGGAAGAAATGCAATTCCGTTCCTCCTGCCGTCTCAGTGTTCGGGGCCATGTCCAGCGTTGATCCATGTCGCGAGAAGACGAACAAGTGCAAACCATGCCGCGGAGGAGAGAGGCTAGTGCATTTGGGGGGCGCGCATCGTGCCGAACCTCGACGCGGGAGGAAGAAGAGGGTTTTCGTGCACAGTTCCGGAAGAATGGACGCCGAGGATTGGAAAAAAGGAATGACCATGAAAGCCGACCGAAACTCCGCCCATGGACCCGACACGAAAGACAAAAACAAAAAGGGGGTATGTAGACGAGCACACACACACACACAAAAAGGAAAAGAAAAAAAAAACTGTAGAATCACATCTGGAACTGCTGCGCCGGTCCCGCCCAGCCACCGCTGCCACCAGGACCTCCACCGGCAGGCACGCGTGCGCCGTCCGCGCCTCCGCCCGCGCGCACGCCATCGAGGACGTCGCCAAATTGGCCGACCCACGGGTCAATGGCGAGGGCATAGCGCACGCAGGCCTCGGCGCTGGCGGGGTCTTCGGCCATGCTCGTGTCCGCGTGGGGACCGAGGGAGGAGGAGGAGGAGAAGGCGGGGGGCCACGGCTGGATGGGGAAGTTGACGGGGCCGGTAATGCCGAGGCTGTAGGCCAGCTCTTCAAAGGAGAGGTTGTGGATTGGATCGGGGTAGGGAGGGCCAAAGTCTTGGGGCGGGTAGGGCGGAGCAGCGGTCGAGGTGGATGTGGAGCCGGTGCCGGTGCCGGAGCCGGGGTCGTAGATGTACGGTGGCTGTGGGGCGCTCGGGGGAGGCCACGCCATGTGGCCGTTGCCATTGCCGTTTGCACTGCTGGTGCCGGTCGAGAGGGGTGTTGGGGTGCTGTCCGTCGAAGGAACGCGGTGGCGGTCATTCGTGGCTATTTCGGAGAGGAGATGGAGGGGCGTGTTGGCAGCGAGGTGGGCTATATGCTGCCGCTGTTGCTGTTGCTGTTGCTGCTGCTGCTGCTGATCGAGAGTCTCAAAGGGCTGGTTGCCATTGGCCATGAAGCGCTTTGGGTCCTCAGCGGAGTTGGGGGGCCCGGCGGCAGCGGCGGACGATGAAGATGACGATTCTTGCGAAGGCCCGCCGGGCATGGCATGACTGACTTGGCGTTCTTGCTTGAGAAACCAACTGCGCAGCATGACGAGGACGACGAGGAACTTGCTCGCGGGGCGGCTCCCGTCGTCGGCGGCCGCCGCTCGGAAGTGCTCGAGGATCTGGTTCACGTAGGTATGGACCTTCATGTCGTCGCGTCCCATGATGCCGGCGAGCTCGCTACCGGGGGCGACGGCGCAGAAGAACATTTTGATGAGGACGACGAGGGCGTACGAGATGCGGACGAGGTTGAAGACGGGCAGGCAGCGGAGGGTGGCTACGTCGGTGGCGAGAAACGTGTCGAAGATGGCGTGGCAGGAGGCGAGGCAGGCCGAGTAGGCGTTGACGTGGAGGGGATGCAGCCCGGACAGCGGTGACGTCGCAGCGATGTCTTGGAGGGAGATTTCCGCAGGGTGGTTCGTCCTGGCTGCGGGTGACGAGCAGACATTGATGATCATCTCGTGCATGTAAATCTTGACGACATGGTATGATATGGTTAGCGTGGCTAGAAGGGTCAGCAAGGAGGTCTGAAGAAGGAAAAGGAGAGAAAGAGAGTAAGAAAAAAAAAGAAAGAAAAAGAGACGGAGAGACGTACTTTGATGAAGATCAGGAGGCAGCATGTTGTACGACGTATCGAGATCACGCTTTAACCTCCTCAGGGAAAACGTGATGCCGGGATCGCGAACATTGATCGTATCCTCAGGCTCGGCCGTCGCAAACTGGGCGGCGACATCCTCGGACACGCGATGCGTGTCGACGAGACCGCAAAAGTACTTGTCCGTCGGCGCCGCGTCGGGCGCGGTGCGCAGGATCTCCATGCTGTCGGCCATGAACTTTGTCCAGCGGAGGAGCAGCGGGCGATGCAGGGCCATGGCCGTGTTGCTCGAGAGATAGTAACAGGCCAGCCAAGCGCGGCGCGCCTCGAGAGACTGGGGGTCGGGCAGCTGGGTCCGGCGGTGCTGGGCGTGGCGGTAGGCGTAGACGCCGTAGACGCCGTAGGGCGTAATGCCCTGGGGCGCGGCGGAGCGCTTGCCGAGGCCAATGTCGATGGCCATGACGGCGGCCATGTGCACGAGCTGGTAGAACTTGAGCTCCTCGTAGTGCTCGGGCGGCCAGTACCAGATGGTGGTGAGCTGCAGGGCCTGCACGAGCTCGAGGCTCTTCTCGCCCGTGATGACGACCTTTTCGGCGAGCACCTGCATCGTCTCGCGCACGAGCTGCCGCTGCAGGGCCGACGTCTCGCTCGACGCCGCCGCCAGCACGGCCAGGAACAGCACGGGCTTGGTGGACCGCAGCTCGCCGACCGTCATGGCGGGCGGGAACAGGACGGCTGGCAGGTGCCCCACCATCTTGTCGTTGTACCGCGCGAAGAGGGCCGTCGCCTTCTCCAGCGAGAGGATCCCTCGGTCGATGACATCGTCGTAGCTGGTGTCGATGCGTATCGGCGGCGGGCCGGACCTCGCCGCCTCGAGCAGCGGCACAGCGGCGTCGCGATCGCCGAGCTTCCTCTTGACGCCAGCCGTGGCGCCCCGTTCGGCTCTCGGCGTGTACAGCCTCGGCGGCTCGGCCTCGCCCACCGCCGCAGGCACAGCAGAAGGCTCAGAAGGCTCTCTCCGCAGGCTCGCGTCCGGCGGCGTGGCCGCCGCACCACCTGTGCCGATGCCCGTCTCGCCGGCTGTCCGCGCATGCAGGCTCGCCGTCAGGGCGTCAATCTTCTTCTCGAGCTCGGCGACGCGGCTGTCCGTCTTCTTGGCCCTCTTGCGCGTCGGCACCGTCACGATGCACGCGCGGCGCGCCTTGCGACAGCGCGCGCAGGGCCCCTCGGGAGCGGCGGCGTCGGGCACGCAGCGCACCTTGAGGCCGCGGCAGGCCTCGCAGGCGCGCGGCCGCTTCGTCTCGTCGGCGTGCTGTTGGCTGTGGTGGTCATGCTCGTGGTCGCGGTCGCGGTCGTGCTCGTGCTCGTGCTCGTGGTCATCATGTTCGTCTTCGGAGGCGTGGGACGCCGGGGTTCCGTCTCGGCTCGGCTGCTGGTGAAGAGGTGCTGCTCGGTAGCCAGCAGACAGGGCGGCGGCCGCTGCTGCTGCTGCTGCTGCTGCTGCTGCTGCTTCGGTGCTGCCATCGGAGGGGGTCACGATCGATGACGTCGGGGCGCTGCGGAGGGCGGGATCGACAACGGTGGCCGCGGGGTTTGTTTCGCCGGCCATGGTGGGATCTGTATGCGTGGTGCAAGGAGAGGAAGGGGTGAGAGCGGGCCGCCGTAGAGCCGGCGAGGCGACGGTCACCCTGACGTGCCGTCTAGATGCAGAAGGACGAACGAGGGGGCTTCAAGCTCGTTGGAGGCATAGGGAAATGTAGTGTTCGGCGAGGCAGTTTTGATGGGGATGCGATGGAATGAAGGGAACGTCGGCAGACGGAGAACGGAGGAGCGGCGTTTGATAATGCCGACGTTGCTTGGTGTGTTGGGCCTTTGGACGCCTTGGGACGCCTTGGGACGCCTTGGGACGGACATGGCGGCTGCAACCGCCGACGTTGCCTTGCTTATGTCATCATCCTTCCTTCCTGCTGTCCTTGCTTCGGAGGTCCTTCCTTCGGTGGTCCCTCACCAGGTGGTCCTTCCCTACCTCACCAGGTGGTCCTTCCCTACCTCACCAGATGGTCATGACCACGTGGTCCTTCCTTCGGTCCTTACCAGGGGTCGACACTGCATCGCCTGCTACAAATGAGGGAGCACCTCGCTGTCACATAGTCGGTCTGCTGTAGGCCTTCAGTGGGCCAGGCGAGTGCTTGCTGAAGTGAAGGAGCTCTCTTGAACTACCTAGCATACAGCAAAAGCAGTCACGGCATCACTCCAGTCAGAGCTAGCGTTCATTCTTGACATCTGCGCGCTGCAAAAAAAAAAAAAAAAAAAAAACCAAGAAACAAAAAAGAAATGGTAACTCCGTGCCTAGCCCGCCATGAGTGAAAGACGCCATCAACGCCGTGCTGCGTAGAAGAGAAGGGACGCCGGATCCAAGCCCTGCATCACGTAACTATACAAAAATCCCCCCCATGGCTTGCTCACATAGGAGAAGAGAAGAAAACAAAATAGCCTCATGCCGTCATCCTCGCCACCCCTGGCACGTCCCCTCCGTCTGGTTACATCTTCTTCACCTGTCGACAGTCGATGCTGGGGTATAATCGTCATAACTCGGGAGCCGGCTTCGTTGCGCCGGTAGGTATCGATAGAGAGAGAGAGAGAGAGAGAGAGAGAGAGAGAGAGGAAGACGGAAAGAGGCGTCAAGCCAGTCCCGTCATGCGCGTCGCTTGGCTCGGCCGTTCGTGTCGTGTCGTTTCATCCCTTGCCTCTAGAATCGTGTCTCCTCACGGAGCCCACTCCGCGCCGCTTGCTGATTCGTGTTCATCATGCCGCCGTTGAAAATGGCACTCTCGCGCCGCCGGTTGGGCTTTTGCTGCTGCCACTGCTGCTGCTGCTGCTGCTGCTGCTCGTACCCCCCATTTCCACCGTCCATCGGACCGGCAGAATACCCTCCGCGGGCCTGCTGGTGGTAGCCCGCTCCTTCGTATCCCTGGGGTCCACCCATGCCGCCTTCGTACCCAGCCCTGCCATATTGCTGCTGCTGTTGTTGTTGTTGCTGCTGCTGCTGCTGCTGC